CGCGACATTTTTAAACAAAAACAAAACAGGGCCGCAGAGATATTTGTTATTATGAACGCACGAGAACGTTTTTTTTTTTTTTTGGAGTTTATGGCCTGGTATCTAGACCTTTAGGCCAAGTCTTGAGTATTTTTATTCGGTTTATTATAATTTCCCAAATGTATAATTATCTTTCATAGTTCACTGCTTCACAATATGTTGATGCATCACATTGTGCAGCCCTTGGGAGATTTTGACGGCAACTTGAGCCAGCAGACAGCTGACAGTTGGCGATGGTATCTAAAGGCGCCTATGCAGACAAACAGCTTATCTTGAGAATCCATCACCATCAGAGCACTTGTTTCACCGTTTCCACTAATAGTTCACATGCGTAGACAGTTAATACATAAAATCGCACCACTTTTACATATCAAAATCCACTTCAAACTATTATTTAAACTATAATACAGGAGCAGCAAACCGCCGGCGGTCAATTTCCCGCCAAAACTCCAACGCACGAGAACGGGCTGTATACTAGTCAGAGATTATATATACAGTAATCTATGGTTCAATCTGAGCACAGACCACAGAGTCTCCATAATATGTAACCACGAAGTTTTTACTAAAAAAAATTCATAGAAGTTTTTATGATTCATGCAAATATTTTTAAAAAGAAGCTACTAATTTGTTTCAATATCAGATTTAATGATTTGAATCAATGAGTTAGGTTAGGTTTCATTTCATTTTATCTCATTAAAATTTTTTATTTCATATCAAAAAAAAATTCTACTGAAGACTTGGCTGTATGGGCATAGTTCCCTTTGCCTATCCAGAATGGGTGAAGAAAACAAAAAAATCTCTGCTTATATCATAGACATAGCTTATATTCTTTTACGGTTGGCGCCATTTTCCAAAAATGTTCTTTATTATATTGCTTCATTTTTTCGCAACTGTATTAAAAATAGTTGTTGTACCAGTAGTGAAGAATAAGACTGGAGACATTTCAGATAAACGCAATTACAGGCCTATCTCTTTAGCAACAGTGACGGCAAAGGTGCTCGACAGGCTACTAAGCAATGAGTTAGAAAAAGTTCTTCAGATTCATGAAACACAGTTTGGTTTTAGGGCAGGGCTGTCAACAGAAAGTGCAATATTAGGTTTAAAACATACAGTCAGATATTATACAGATCGCAAAACCCCGGTTTATGGATGCTTCTTAGACCTGTCGATGGCCTTTGACCTGGTGTCGTATCATATTTTATGGAAAAAAACTTGCCGAATGTAATTTTTCTAATGATCTTCTGGGTATCTTCCGCTATTGGTACAATCATCAAACCAATCATGTAAAATGGGCAGATAAGCTTTCTGAACAGTACGAGTTGAAATGTGGCGTGAGACAAGGTGGAATAAGTTCACCTCAACTTTTTAACTTGTATATAAATGAGCTGCTCGAGAGACTCAGCAGCACTAAGGTCGGTTGCCATGTGGATGGAAAGTGTGTCAACAACCTAAGTTGCGCCGACGACATGGTGCTGTTGAGTCCCTCGGTCAGTGCTCTCAGAAAGCTTCTGGGAATCTGTGAGGCTTATGCAAATGAATACGGTCTAATTTATAATATAAAGAAAAGTGAGTTTGTGTTGTTTAAATCTAATGACAAGAGTCCCACGTACATACCTACCTATCAGACTCTACAACACTGCTTTATCGAGGTTATCACAATTCAGATTCTTGGGACACTACGTGAACGAGGATTTGTGTGATGAAATGGACATGGAGAGGGAACGTAGGGCTTTAGCGACCCGGAGTAATATGTTAGCCCGTAGGTTTGCACGATGCAGTAATGCCGTTAAAATAACTCTTTTTAAGGCATACTGCCAGTCTTTCTATTCGTGCTCCCTTTGGGTCAACTACACACAAAGGGCGTATAAAGCATTAAAGGTGCAATATAACAATTCATTTAGAGTTCTTTTGGGGCTGCCCCGCTACTGCAGAGCTTCAGGCATGTTCTGTGAGGCCCGCACTGACGGGTTTGACGCGATAATGTGAAAAAAAGCCGCATCGCTACTAAGCACAACAAGGAATAGCTCCAACAGTATCCTGGGTGTTATAGCACAAAAACATGACTGTCCTATAATAAGGCAAATTATTAAGGACCTGCATGGCTGACTTACCTGTGTGTGTATGTATGTATTATGGCTGCGAGCGCGCGCGCGCGCGTGTGTATGTGTGTGTGTGTGTGTGTGTGTGCTTCAGTGCGAATTTGCATGCGTGAATGCGTGCGTTATTTTACTTTCTCCGTCCACCTAGCTGTATTATTATTATTATTTTGTCATTTTTATATTATATTGATCTGTGATATGGATCTCATTTGTTATCCGAAATAAATATTTATTATTATTATCAAATTAAAATGACGTGGAGGATAATTAACAGCGAAACCGGTTAAGAGAAACCTCGTAGCTCAAACTATCAATTAAAAATTAATAATGAATTGACTAAATGAAATCAGGAAGTTGCAGCGGTGTTTGAGAAATATTTCACTGATGTTTCTATCTTGAGAACAGAGTCATTGAATATTTCTCCAACTGTCACCGAGTCATTACTTAAACAGAAAGTTAATACCTGTTTAAAAGAATTTAGATTTGAACAAGTATTACCGCATAATACTGTAAAATACTTCAAAACCATTGATGTATGGAAAACCGCAGATTTTTTGGGGATTTCTGTTACAGTTATTGCTTCTATTATAGATTTAATTGCACCTCAGCTTGCTAAATTATTTTTAATACTTGTATCGATTCTGGTGTGTTTCCTGATTTAATGAAATATAGTAAAGTAATACCTTTATTTAAATCTGGTAGTACATTGGACCCCGCTAATTATAGACCTATTTCTGTACTAGCAACTCTCAGTAAAATTTTTGAAAAAATAATTTTGGATCAATTGTTAATTTTTTTTTCATCATCATCATCATTACAGCCCTTCACAAGTCCACTGCTGAACATAGGCCTCCCCCAAAGAATGCCACAAAACACGGTCCTGAGCCACCTGCATCCATTGACTTCCTGCATGTCTTACCAGGTCGTCACTCCATCTCGTGGGGGGACGCCCTACACTTCGCCTACCGGTACGAGGCTGCCACTCGAGAACCTTTCTTCCCCATCGGTTGTCGGTTCTTCGAGCTATATGGCCGGCCCACTGCCACTTCAGCTTACTAATCCGTTGGGCTATGTCGGTCACTCTGGTTCTACTGCGGATATCCTCATTCCTAAGTTTATCACGCAGAGAAACTCCGAGCATAGCCCTCTCCATAGCTCGCTGAGCGACCTTGAGCTTCCTCATACGGCCAGCAGTGAAGGACCACGTCTCAGTTCCGTAAGTCATCACTGGCAACACGCACTGGTTGTACAATTTCGTTTTAAGGTTTTGAGGTATGTCTGACGAGAAGATGTGTCGTAGCTTCCCGAACGCTGCCCAGCCGAGTTGAATCCGTCGATTGACCTCTCGGTCGAAGTTGGACTTACCCAGTCGGACTATTTGTCCCAGGTAAACATACTCGTCAACAACTTCGAGCTTAGTGTTCCCAACAACTATCGGCATAGGTGTGACATGGACATTAAACATGATCTTAGTTTTGTCCATGTTCATCTTAAGACCTATCCGTTGGGAAACACTATTGAGGTCATTGAGCATAGTGCTTAGGTCCTCCAGCGATTCTGCCATAAGGACTATATCGTCGGCAAATCGAAGGTGAGTGATGTACTCGCCATTGATGTTGATACCGTATCCTTTCCAGTCCAGAAGCTTGAAAACGTCTTCCAATGCAGCGGTGAAGAGTTTCGGGGATATGACGTCACCCTGTCTTACACCTCTCTGCAATTGGATAGGTTTCGTACTCTGGTTCTGTACTCGGATAGCCATCGTAGCCCTACTGTACAAGCACTTCAACACTTCGATATACCGACAGTCAACTTGGCACCGCTGAAGGGACTGCAGCACCGCCCAAATTTCGACGGAATCAAAGGCTTTCTCATAGTCCACATACGCCAGACATAGTGGCAAATTCTACTCTTCGGACTTCTGTACAGCTTGCCGAAGGGTATGTATGTGGTCTATGGTGCTAAAGCCCTTTCGGAAACCGGCTTGTTCGGGAGGCTGGAAGTCGTCAAGTCTGCGCGCGAGACGATTCGTAATGACTCTCGAAAACAGCACGTAGAAGGGCTCAGAAGGGAAATCGGTCTGTAGTTCTTTAAGAGAGCGTTGTCACCTTTCTTGAAGAACAAGACCACCGCACTTCTGCTCCACGCCTCCGGTGTAATGCCACCATGGAGGACGGAATTAAAGAGCTTCTGAAGGACTTCAAGTACCGGTCTTCCACCCGCTTTCAGAAGCTCCGCTGTAATTCCATCCTCGCCTGGGGCCTTACCGTTTTTAATACAAATAAATTCATAAAAACTAATTTGGTTTTACAAGGGGTCGCTCGGCATCTGACGCCGGTGTTGACCTTATGAAATATTTTTTTTGCCTGCGAGAATTCACAAGATGTCTTAGGTATTTTCTGTGACTTTTCCAAGGCTTTCGATTGTGTTCATCATGAGACATTAATCAGGAAACTACAACATTACGGTTGTTGTAGATTCAAGTAGGTTATTAGTCAGAGAAAAATACTGGCAGCTATTGCCTATGGTTATACAATATATGTATATATTACTTTTTATTCTGACTTTGATCCATGATGTTTAAAAAATGAAAAAGTAACGATAGGATGTTTTAATGGACATGAAGAAAAAATATTATAATTAATAACTGTTTTAACTTGTTGTCTTGGTTATATTGATTAAAGTAATTAACAAAGAAAAGTCTTTAATTGCAACTATCACATATGGCGACCGTGAGGCAAAGAATTTAACTTATTAAAAGTCCGGAATGTCCGCTGTAGTTTGTGCTCAAATAAGGAAGTCTGATTAAGATTATAATAAAATAAGTAGTTTGGAAGATTTGAGTACATATATTAAATAAAAATGGAGACTGCAGCGGCGATTAAAGAGAACCGGGAGAGAGAGCAACTAAGAAGAATTTTCAACCGAACAGCGACGAAACTAGAAGCTGATATCAAAGTCAAAAATTTCTCGCAAGTGTTGATCGACATTGAATTTCTTAAGAGTAAGGTTGAACGATTAGAAGCTTTAGATAAAATGATACAAGACCTCATGTTAGAAAGCGACAGTTATGATGAAGAATCCTTCAGCATTGAAATTGATACAGCGGACACGTATAAATACAGATGGCACACAATTAACAATCAGATAAAGACAGGTATGTCGTCAAAAATTCCTCCTGATAAGATTGAAGATGTAAAGCGAGCCAGGAATTACAATTTACCTAAGTATGAGCTAAAGAAATTTGATGATAACCTGAAGAACTGGTTAGCTTATTGGGGCCAATTTAAGAAAATTGACGAAGATCACTCATTGTCTGGAGAGGATAAGTATCAGTACCTCCTTCAATCATTAAAGGAAGATAGTAACGCTCGAGTATTGGTGGAAAGTTTCCCTCCGTCTGCTGAAAATTATACAAAGGCTATTGAACAACTCAAGGCAAGATTTGGACGGGAGGATCTTCTTATACAGGTTTATGTTAGGGAATTATTAAGTTTAGTTTTAAACAATAATAAAAAACAAGTATCTATTAGACTATTATATGACAAAATTTCAACATATTTGATGTCTTTAGAAACGTTAGGCATTGTTAAACAGAAATATGAAATAATTTTGTATACCCTTGTAGAATCAGCAATTCCCGAAACAATTCTTATTGCTTGGAATAGATGTAATACTGATCCATCTCTTGGTAACCAATTGAAAAATTTATTAAATTTTCTTAAAAACGAAGTAGAAACAGAAGAGCGAATTAATTTAGCGAGGTCTGATTTTAATTGTATTGGTACTTATCACACTCTCCACAGGGAACAAATAAGCAGCTTACCAACAGCAGCATCGTTAGTATCAAATATAAAACCAAAGGAGTCAGGTAAAGTAGTCAATGTTATTTGCTGTTTTTGTGACAAAAGCAATCATAGTTCTTTTGAATGTAGTAGAGCTAATAAGATGTCCCTAGAGGATAAAAAGGAGGCAATAAAAAAGAAAGGCTGCTGCTATATATGTCTTAAAAAAGGTCACATGGCTAATAAATGTAAAAGTTTTGTTAGATGTTTATCATGTGAAAAAAGACACTATGTGATTTTATGTCCGGAAATTCATAAGAAAGAAAAGAGTGGAACATTGGAAAATGTTTCGTTATGTGCCAGAACTAATATGACAACTTTGTTACAAACACTCATTGTCAATATCACCTATCAAAGAAAAATCAAGAAGGTGAGAGTTTTGTTAGACAGTGGTTCTCACAGGTCGTATGTAAAAGCCAAAGTTGTTGAAGAATTAGGATTGCATGATACTGGCATAGAAATAATAGGTCACACATTATTTGGGGGTGTGGATCAGCCTGCCAAGGTATATAAATGCTTTGATATTTTGGTAAGTAGCTTAGACAATAAGTTTTCTGTTAGAATCAATGCACTACAGCAGTCTGATTTATGTGGGCACCTGCCAAAAATTAATAATGAAAAAATATTAGAGAAGTTACGGGACTTGAATATTGTGATCAGTGATTTTGATTATACAGATACTGAGATAAGTCTCTTGATTGGGTCGGATTACTTAGGATCCATCATACATAATGAAACGGTTAGTTTAGGTAACAACCTGATGGCTGTTAATACCAAGTTAGGATGGACATTACAGGGACCAATAAAAGTTCAAAGTACAGTCAATACATCAAGCACTACATGCTTTTCAAAAACAAATCTTTCTGATTTGTGGAGTATTGAGTTATTAGGAATTCGAGACCCTTATGAAAATAAGTCTAAAAAGGATACTGAAGTCGAGATTTTGAAAACTTTCAATGATAACATTTCAGTAAATGCACAAGGACGTTATGAAGTCTCATTGTTATGGAAAGAGGGGTGTGCAGGACTCAAGACAAATTATGAAGTTGCATTTAAACGATTGGAATCAACCACAAAAAAGTTAAAATCAACTGGTAACCTAAAAATGTATGATCAAGTTCTTCAAGACTGGAAGAAAAATGATATCATTGAGAGGGTTATAAATGATACAAATACAGGCCACTATTTGCCACATCATAGTGTTATTAAATTATCTAGTATGACAACACGTGTACGTCCAGTATTTGATGCTTCTACAAAGGACAACAATGGATGGACTCTTAACGGTTGTTTAGATAAAGGTATTAATATGATTGAATTGTTACCAAAATTATTAATACAATTTAGAAAAGGTGCTTATGGAGTTATATCTGATATAAAACAAGCATTTTTACAGATATCTATTGCAGAAAAAGATCGAGATTACTTGAAATTTCTCTGGTGGGAAAATATAGAAACTTGTAATGAATTAGTTGCATATCGACACAAAGGAGTGGTTTTTGGAATTACGTGTAGTCCATTTTTGTTGAGTGCCACAATAATGTATCATTTGAGTAAGTATTCAGAAAAGTACAGGAAAACTGTTAACAAATTGAAAAAATCTTTTTATGTAGACAATTGTGTTGCAAGTTTTGATAATGTAGATGAAATGAATATATTTATATCGGAATCTAAGGAAATAATGGCAAAAGGTATGTTTGATCTGCGTGGATGGGTAACAGCACCTCACAGAATAGATAGCATTGTTGAAGTTCCTGTGCTTGGGATGACATGGAATACAATTCTAGACAATTTAAGATGTAATGTCAACATAAGTGAAGCAAGATCGGAGAAAATAACGAAAAGGTATGTGATTGCTGTGGCACAACATATATTCGATCCACTGGGACTTGTTTGCCCAGCAACTTTAATACCCAAACTTATTATGCAGAAAATTTGGGAACATAACATAGATTGGGATCATGAAATACCCGAAGAGTTAGCCCAAGAGTTCAAAATCTGGTTAAGTAAAGCACATTTCATCAATCAATGTCTGTTCCCTAGACATATCTCAATCGCACCTTTAGAAAAATGTCAGACAAGTCTTCATATATTTTGTGATGCCAGCCTAACATCTTTTGCTGCATGTTTGTTTTTAAGAACAAAATTAAACGAACAGGTAAAAGTCCAATTAGTTTTAGCAAAAAATCGGGTAACCCCAGCTAAAAGAAAAATGTCTTTACCAAGACTAGAACTTATGGGGGCGCTCATTGCAACTCGACTATACAAAGAGGTTTTAGAGTCAAGATTGCTAACAAAATGTAAGGAATACAAGGTTTATTTTTGGACAGACTCTGCTGTGGTGCTATCATGGCTAAAAAGACAAGCACATTGGAAACCATTTGTTTCCAATAGAGTGAAAGAAATATGCTCAACAACCAATCGTGACGATTGGTACCATCTACCTGGTGAGTACAATCCATCAGATCTTCCATCACGAGGTTGTGACGCAAAGAAGCTTATGGAAAGTAGATGGTGGGAAGGCCCAGCATGGTTGAAGCTTAATGAGAAGGATTGGCCAAAATCAAACATTATAAATGTCAATGAAGAGATTGTAGAAGCAGAAGTAACCAAAAACGCCAAGATTAATACAAATGTCACAATAGAACCATTCGGTCAAAAATTGACATATTTTTCAAAATATAACCGCATAGTTAGACTTGTGGCATGGATATTACGTATGAATTGTAAAATAAAAATAAAGTTTGACATAAAGGAGTCAGACATAACAAATGATGAATATATCAATGCAGAAAAGACACTAATTAAATTATTACAGAAAGAGAATTTTACAGAAGGGTTTTCGTTACATAATATAAATACAGAAATAGATGCTGATGGGGTGATAAGAGTAAAAACACGTTTAGATTTGAGTAAAGAAGACAAGAATTTTGTAAGGCCAATACTTCTACCAGGAAAAAACGAAATCGTACAGCGGTTAGTGCGACAGAGACATGAAAAGTTAAATCATGGAGGAACTCAGCTCTTACTATCCAACCTCAGAAACAATTTATGGATTTTAAACCTAAGACGTCTTGTTAAAAGCGTTGTTTCTATATGTGTTATATGTAAGAGATACAAGACAAAACATTACGAGGTTCCTGAAGCACCATTGCCATCAAACAGAGTTGAGGCAAATGCAGCATTCCAGATAACTGGTATAGATTTAGCGGGACCTCTACATCTCCGTGACCAAAGCAAATGTTGGATAGTATTATTTACTTGTGCTACATATAGAGCAGTTCACCTAGAGCTTGTGGAATCTTTATCCACAAATAGTTTCTTGATGGCCTTACGTCGTTTCATAGCTCGAAGGGGCCGCATAAACATTATATATACTGATTGTGGTACGAATTTTCAAGGTTCAGCCAATTTATTAAAAGAGGTTGATTGGGCAAAAGTCGAAGCAGCAACTAGCATAGTTCCACCAGCTATCAAGTGGCGTTTTGTACCTCCACGTGCGCCCTGGTGGGGAGGATGGTGGGAGCGCCTTATAAAGGTAGTAAAGGAAATGTTAAGAAGAATCTTGGGAAAACAATCCTTAACTTTGATTGAATTATCAACAATAATTTGTGACTGCGAAGCAATCATTAACAGCCGACCATTGACATACGTAGCAACAGCTGATGACTCTCTTAAACCACTTACTCCAATGATGTTTCTACATCCCTTAGATAATAGTGAGATGCCTGATTTAGATCTGATTGATGCAAAAAACATAAATCTAAACAAATTACGTGCAGATTTTCGACAACGTTTTAGAAACGAATATATTGCTTTAATTTGTAGTAAAGATAGATGTAAACAAAATTTGCCGAAATTAAACGATATTGTTCTTATTGAAACTGACACTAGTCGGCTATATTGGCCATTAGGTATTATAAAGGAGTTAATTATAGGTGCTGATGGTAATTGTAGAGTTGCAAAAGTACAAACAGCTACCGGTGAATTGGTTAGAGCTGTACAAAGTCTTTACCCACTGGAATTAACAACAGTTACAAACGAATGGCACAGGGCCAGTCCATCTACTAATAGAAATAAGACAGAGACTAACCCTAACATTAAGGATTATAGTTCCCAGGCGACTTTGGATTCGGACATAATATCATCTGATTTACCTCGAACATCTTCTATTAGTACTAGACATGGTAGAGTAATTAATGTTCCAAGAAGATTCTTAGATTAAGTTGACGAAATGCATTTAGTCAATTAGTTAGGAATGTTTATTTAAAATAATGCTCTCTAATTAACATTAAAAATTGAAGTGGTTGAATTCATCTATATTTGTAATGAATGTGTGAATACACTTAAAATTAACTTAATTCGATTACATGTTATGTTTAAGTATTTTGAATTATATTATATCGACTCTACTATCATATTTTTCTGTGTGGGGAGGATGTTGTAGATTCAAGTAGGTTATTAGTCAGAGAAAAATACTGGCAGCTATTGCCTATGGTTATACAATATATATATATATTACTTTTTATTCTGACTTTGATCCATGATGTTTAAAAAATGAAAAAGTAACGATAGGATGTTTTAATGGACATGAAGAAAAAATATTATAATTAATAACTGTTTTAACTTGTTGTCTTGGTTATATTGATTAAAGTAATTAACAAAGAAAAGTCTTTAATTGCAACTATCACAACGGTATAAAAAATTTGGCGCTTAGACTTATTACGTCATATTTAAGTAACAGAACTCAAAAAGCCATGGCTAAGGTTCCTCTGGATCGGTAGTATCAATGGGCATTCCTCAGGGCTCGATTCCTGGCTCATTACTGTTCTTAATCTTTATTAATGACTTACCTTATCTTGTAGGCGACAATCACGATATAGTATTATTTGCTGACGATACCTGTTTAATTTTCAAACTCAAACGGCAGTCAATTAATTATGACGATGTAAATAATACTCTATCGAAATTAGTACATTGGTTTAACGCCAACAATTTGCTCTTAAACGGCAATAAGACAAAATGTATTAAATTTACAATACCTAATATAAAACATTCGAAAACCAATGTGCTGTTAAATGGGGAGGAGTTGAGTCTTGTGGATACCATTGTTTTTCTTGTTATTACTATTAACGCGAAACTTCAATTGGGTCCCCATATATCTAAATTAGCAAGCAGACTTAGTTCTGCGGCATATGCTGTAAGAAAGATTAGAAGTCTTACAGATGTTGAGACAGCTAGATTAGTGTATTTTAGTTACTTTCATAGAGTAATTTGTTATGACATTTTGCTGTGGGGTAATGCGACTGATATTAAAGCTATATTTGTTTTGCAAAAGAGAGCTGTACGGACGATTTATAACCTAAATTGTAAAGAGTCCCTCCGAGAAAAATTTAAAGAAATAATCATATTAACTTTGGCATCGCAATATGAAAATGAAAATGAAAATGTTTATTTGTAATTAATAGAATCAGGCGTTACTTTGCGGAAATCCATTATATAAAAGCTTTTACAAAAATTTACTTCGCAAATATCCGCGTTATAAAATAAAATGATGTGTCTTACCTAGTATGAAGAAGCACCTCCGCCCTCCCTCAATTGCGTGCACTATCCCCGTCACCACTAATCCCAGCACCGCTACTCCCAACACCACTACACTAGGCATGACACACCACTGACGATAATACGACACGTGTTTCGCCTCTACACGAGGCATCCTCAGGTGATATAGACTCTACGGTGGCTAACCGCTAAGTGAGCGGCGAGCCAAAACAAGTGCCTTTTATACAAACTGATGATGCAACCGCTCTCTACCTAAGGAGCGAGCGACTGCGTCATGCGATAAAACATGCGACCAATCACCGCTGGACTTACGCAGCCGTTTGTAAAATTAAAAACAAACCGCTGCGCAACGCCCACATTATTAGAGAGCAGGCTTGAAGATATTTAAGAGAGGTGAGTTAGTAACATTTGTTTGTTCATTCGGCAATGCAACGGTATTATTATTACTTTTTAATATCTCTAACTGTTCCAGCACACACAGCCGCAGCCCTTTATTACACGTATGTAAGACTTTAAAGGAGTGGTCGTTGGCTAGGTTGTGTCCAGTGTCCAAAAGATGTTTGGCAAAATGGGATTTATCGGGATTGCAATTCCTGTACGCGGCTAAATGCTCTTTATAACGTGTCTCAGACTGGTCGCAATTTCGAGACACCCAAGACAGAGGTATTTTCCGAACCAGTGATAAATAAAAAATTACTTTCAATAAATATTATGTACTATGTAGTATGTTTCAATAAATGCTATGTCCATTAATAAAATGTTTTGAGAAGTTGTATGCATATCATCCCGTGGGTCACGTAAGAGGCGACTAGACTTAGAGAAAAGTGTTATTTTTAAATTACCGTGACCGTCGTTCCGGTTACTTAAAAGTCACAATGAAAAATCTTCGTGACTTTGTCACGTTGATAAAGTTGGATAACTACTTGGAATATAACGAGGGTGACACTAAAAGTTCTTAGAAAATAAAAACTGAACAAACTAGCAAGTTATTAGTTTTATTATATATTTTAAAAATAGTGTTCATTTACATCAATACATCGGTGCATCCGATGGAATCACTGAGAAAAGCACTTTTTCCACTCGTCCTTGGTCCATCTCTTTGACAGCATTTGAAAACGCAGCTACTGCTTCCTCGGCGTCCATAAAACGTTTTCCTCGAATTTCTTCTTTTATTTTAGGAAATAAATAAAAACGCAAGGTGCGTGGTCGGGACCCAGTAATTCCACGTCTGACGACAAGACGACAAGTAGCAAACAACTGTTAGTGTACCATTCTGCAATAACTATTTTTCGATCCTCTAAAACAATTGTTGCGTAATGAGCAGTCCTTCCGAAGAACGAGGCCAGTATCATTTTTCCCAAGCTTCGAGTTCTCTTCACTTTAGCTGGCATCTCCTCGGAAGGAAACACCCAGACAGTAGACTGTCTCTTAGTTTCAGGATCATAACAATAAATCCTGTTTTCGTCACCCGCAAGTATGTCGAATAAAGCATTTGAGTCATCTCCATTAAATCTTAGAACTATTTCACGACACCAATCAACAGGACGGAGTTTTTGGGCCTCTGTCAAATTATGAGGTATCCATCAGACACCAAACTTCCTGACCGCTAAATGTTCATGGAGGATTTTGTGCACTTGACTCATACCGATGCCTAAGCTTGTCTGAATCTGCTGATAAGCCACTCTTTTGACAGTCTCTATCATGCGCCGCATAACGCTGTCGTTGCCGTAGAAGGCCGTCTCTCACGCAGATCATCGGTGAGATTAGTGCGACCACGTTTAAACTCATTAAACCAGTTGTAAACAGTGGCATGAGATGGAGCTTCATCGTGAAATCGAATCCAATCGAGGTCAATCGAAGTCTATCATAACTTTCTTGTTGACTTAAATGACATCGAAAGTCATAAAAAATCATTGTACGAAAATTTTCTTGCGTTAAATTCTAGCTGACGTGACACAGGCAATTTTCAATTTGCCGCCAAATCGTAAACAAATGACAAATTAATAAAATACCCACCCAATAATATTGGCAATGAGTTCCATTTTCAAAATTTGAACTTACTTTTTTATTATATCGTTTACTAGTTGCCAGTTCTAAAAACTTTTAGTGTCGCCCTCGTGGAAAATTGTATTGATGTCCAACGTCCATGACAGCGAAATCCAACAGTACAAACGAGACAAAATATTTTTATGCAAAATACCGATACGAGTACAAAAATAAACATAAATCTAAATATTTATCTTTGTACTGACTACAGTCTGTCAAGAAACTCATGAAAAAAAAAAGGAGGGCGCCACTATGTTTTATAAGGCATCCCTATAGATTTCAACCGAAAAGTTTGATACTTTTTATTTTATAAACTGATTTAATATTATGGTCCCTTTACTGTCATATTTTTTCAAGTACACGCTTTTATTGCGTAATCTTTGACCCTTGTAAATCCCAGCAACAGTAATTAGCTACATTCACATGCTTAAACTGATATAATTGAGATAATTTTACTGTGTATCCTACAAATAATTAGGGAAAGCAGGTTTTACACAAGACCAGCCTTGACAGACAGCAGACACTCAAGGTGCAAAAATAAAACAAACAAAATGTTGGTACATAGTTATTATATTTTGATTATTAATCCGAGTCCAAATAATCTGAGTCAAGGTATTCAACTCCCGAAATGTTGCCTGAATCTCCTGCATAATTAAATTGGTCCATTTTTGACTCTTCAGATTCACTGGAACCATCATCTCTTACTGAGATGACAAGTTTGTCTTTATCATTATACAGAGATCCTCCACGGGCAAAATATTCATCGTCGTCCACTATGCGCCGAATTGTGCTTTCAGAAACACCTGAAACCAATATAAGCATGTAAATAATAAATACGTTATTCATATCTAAACAAATAATACAAAAGGATCAAAACTATTGACTGTGTAGTATAATTCTTAAATAAATTTCATAACCTCAACTATTTGTAAACAATGCAATAAAACGGATAAATTATACTTAAAACAAATGATAGATATGAAATTACAGTTTTTTTATTGTGTTTAACATTAAAATACATGTACGTACCAGTTATCTTTGCTGTTCGACCGTAAACATCGTTTAAATCGGAAAGAAACTTTCCCGCTTGAAATTCGGCCATACACATACACTCTTGAAACCAGGGCTCGGAACCGGTTTAAAAAGAGCGGTTAATTTCGATTAATTACCGGTAAATTTATCGCTCCTTCAATTACCGGTTAAAAAATTAACCGGTTTTTATTAAAACTAAACGATGAAGGTTACCGGTTACTTAACGGTTTTGACACCCAAATTAACTGGTTAATTTCGTAAAACGTTACGGCAGTTATGAATAGGACATGTAGATTCACGTTGCGAGGTGCTTATGCGGCATCGCCGCATGTGGGCACACTTATCAATTATCTGCCTTTAAGCGATACATTGTTTTAGTCACGGTCAGGGTGTGAAGTGGGAGTTTGGCGTTTACGAAAAACGTGAAAGTATTGGAGAAGTTTTGAAGAAAGAAAGGCAGTTATTGTGTTTGGTTTATTCGTTAAGACTGGACTTGTCTCATAATGAAGAAAATAATTTATTCTTGTGTATCGGTTGTTTATTTATGATGGGCAGAAAAAAAGTAAATAGAATTTATTCCATGTT